CGGGGTAAAATTTTACTCTTTTCCAGGTTATTTTACTCCTAGACGTTTTATTTTACCCCTAAACATTTTATTTTGCTCAATTCTGAGTATTTTACTCCTTTTCCAATCACCAGTGAGAGGACTCAACTTATTGTATTGATCACAATTATTACTGATCTTAGAGGACTCAACTTATTGTATTGATCACAAATATTTCTATTCTTTCAAATATTGTTCAGGTCTTGTCTTGTCTTTATCTCTTCCATTTTTTGTTTGTGTGACTTTTTATTATTTTTGTTTTTCATTGTGAAATTTCTTGCCTTCTTGCACTTTGCAGCATTGTGTCCTTATACAGGTCAATACCCACGGTGTTACCACATATCCTTCTCTTGGCCTCTTGTCTTTTTACTTAAAATATCAATATCTGTTTATAACAATCGATATTAATCAAAGGTTTAATTTCATACCAATACAAAAAAAATCATAAAATCTGATCTGCGGACTGAAGTAATGGTATTGACCACTTCAGCAGATCTAGGTCACTTCAGCAGATCTAGGTCACTTCAGCAGATCTAGGTCACTTCAGCAGATCTAGGTCACTTCAGTACATCTATTTACCTTGTCCATAGGAACTTATTTCCGGTAAAGTGAAAACTGAGCTATTTAACCCTCATAGTCAGGTATTGGTCCAACACAGCTTTGAATGAAACAGTATGACAACCATTACAAGGTTAGAGTCTATCCAGACATTACACAGGGTCTGGTTTATATATCGTATAACACAGGGTCTGGTTTATATATTGTATAACACAGGGTCTGGTTTATATATCGTATAACACAGGGTCTGGTTTATATATTGTATAACACAGGGTCTGGTTTATATATCGTATAACACAGGGTCTGGTTTATATATTGTATAACACAGGGTCTGGTTTATATATCGTATAACACAGGGTCTGGTTTATATATCGTATAACACAGGGTCTGGTTTATATATCGTATAACACAGGGTCTGGTTTATATATCGTATAACACAGGGTCTGGTTTATATATCGTATAACACAGGGTCTGGTTTATATATCGTATAACACAGGGTCTGGTTTATATATCGTATAACACAGGGTCTGGTTTATATATCGTATAACACAGGGTCTGGTTTATATATCGTATAACACAGGGTCTGGTTTATATATCGTATAACACAGGGTCCGGTTTATATATTTACATATTGATTATTTATTAATTACCTATGATTTAGTGGAAATCTTGTGTCTTGAAAAAGAATAGATTAGATGAAATAGTTTAGATGAAATGTCATAAAGCAATAACAATAAATTATAAATTGATCTTTAAGCAAAAACTGTCTGGACTAACAAGAACCAGGTGTGCCTGTTAAGTTATCTTCACCATTTTGGTTTAGTTGCTTGATCTTTTACCCTTGCTTGCTTTTGCTTGGCTTACTTCATCTCCCTTTTCATGATCTTGTTTTTACAGGAACTATTTTTTCACTAACAGGTATGGGAGCGAACGCCCCACTGAGGCACGTCCCCACGGATTACGACCTGCCTCCATTACCTGCACCAAGGAAGCCCCCAGAAAATAACCGGTAAGACAAAGGGGTCCTACTGAAACATCATAAAACACCAAATATTAATAGAAGCTAATATTTTCAAATTGAGAATGCTGTTCAGTGAAATTGATACTTCATTATATTTTCAATGGAATGACCCTTAGAACTATTTTGGGACTTCTCATGCTCAGTGCGACAGAGGAGTTGGATATAGGTAACATATTTCATTATTTTATTGATCATAACATGGAAACAGTTGAAATTATCCAATACCCTCAATAGGCTTTATCCACAAAAAATTATATAATTTCGGTGTGGAGAATCAAAACCTCTTTACTGATAAATATAATGTGGAATTATGATAACTATTATGATATTGATAAATATATATAATTATGATAACTATTTTGATATTGATAAATATGTAGAATTATGATAACTATTTTGATATTGATAAATATGTAGAATTATGATAACTATTATGATATTGATAAATATGTAGAGTTTCTAAAATAGATTAAAACAGAATTGTATGTTATCTACTTTTTTGTCTTTCACAGGAAGTTAGAGAGTGGTGCTAGTACCCGCAGTGATATACCACTTCCTGTACGTAATCGTGATAAGGCCAACGAAATCTCGGACAATGTAAATGAGAACAGTGTTGACGAGGTGCGTGTGGATGTTCTCATAGCTAAAGGTTACGACAGACTACAAGTAGTGGACGCTCTACGTGTGGCCAGAAATAACATTCAGATGGCCGAGGAAATTCTCAAAACATTTGTGAGAAACGTCAGCACGGAGATGTAGGCTCATGAATAGTGATCACCTACACAGAGGATACTTCTCTTCAATTGATTTTGGGGAAGTTGAATATTAATTTAATTCCTCATTTTAGTTTTTGAATTTTTATGTTAACCTATGCTCTTCCACTTTTTCATAATGGACTTTTCCAGGTACTTAGATGGTTGTTTCAATACGTTAGGGTGAGGTTAACGCTGAAATTTTAATGGACAATATTGTCTGACATCTTAGTTTAGGTCTTCAATCATTTGACTAATAGTGACATCATAGTAATACTTTGTACTTAGATAATTAACACCTCACGAAGTCACTCTAGTGGTAGTCATCAGTACTTGGTCAACTAGAACGGAGTCGTATGACCAGCTTCACCAGGTCACCAGGTCACCAGGTCACTGAAATGTACCAAAAGTTTGAGAAAAGAGTTTTCAATATTGTCCATCATAGTGAGAAACATTGTGTGACAGTGATGTTTATGTCATCGTCAGGACTTGGTAGATTGTCGTCCTACAGTGTATTGAACCAGGATTTGGTAGATTGTCCTACAGTGTATTGAACCAGGACTTGGTAGATTGTCCTACAATGTATTACCACATTTGATCAATTGTTCACAATATATTGAACCAGGATTTGGTAGATTGTCCTACAATGTATTGAACCAGGATTTGGTAGATTGTCCTTCAATGTATTGAACCAGGATTTGATCAATTGTTCACAATATATTGAACCAGGATTTGGTAGATTGTCATCCTACAATGTATTGAACCAGGATTTGGTAGATTGTCCTACAATGTATTGAACCAGGATTTGGTAGATTGTCGTCCTACAATGTATTGAACCAGGATTTGGTAGATTGTCCTACAATGTATTAAACCAGGATTTGGTAGATTGTCCTACAATGTATTGAACCAGGATTTGGTAGATTGTCGTCCTACAATGTATTGAACCAGGATTTGGTAGATTGTCATCCTACAATTTATTGAACCAGGACTTGGTAGATTGTCCTACAGTGTATTGAACCAGGATTTGGTAGATTGTCATCCTACAATATATTGAACCAGGATTTGGTAGATTGTCATCGTACAATGTAAAGAACCAGGATTTAATAGATTGTCCTACAATATATTGACCCAGGATTTGGTAGATTGTCATCGTACAATGTATTGAACCAGGATTTGTTAGATTGTCCTACAATGTATAGAACCAGGATTTGGTAGATTGTCCTACAATGTATAGAACCAGGATTTGGTAGATTGTCCTACAATGTATTGAACCAGGATTTGGTAGATTGTCGTCCTCCAATGTATTGAACCAGGATTTGGTAGATTGTCATCCTACAATTTATTGAACCAGGACTTGGTAGATTGTCGTACAGTGTATTGAACCAGGATTTGGTAGATTGTCATCGTACAATGTACAGAACCAGGATTTAATAGATTGTCCTACAATATATTGACCCAGGATTTGGTAGATTGTCATCGTACAATGTATTGAACCAGGATTTGTTAGATTGTCCTACAGTGTATTTAACCAGGATTTGGTAGATTGTCATCGTACAATGTACAGAACCAGGATTTAATAGATTGTCCTACAATATATTGACCCAGGATTTGGTAGATTGTCATCGTACAATGTACAGAACCAGGATTTAATAGATTGTCCTACAATATATTGACCCAGGATTTGGTAGATTGTCATCGTACAATGTACAGAACCAGGATTTAATAGATTGTCCTACAATATATTGACCCAGGATTTGGTAGATTGTCATCGTACAATGTATTGAACCAGGATTTGTTAGATTGTCCTACAATGTATTGAACCAGGATTTGTTAGATTGTCGTCCTACAATGTATTGAACCAGGACTTGGTAGATTGTCCTACAATGTATTGAACCAGGATTTGTTAGATTGTCCTACAGTGTATTTAACCAGGATTTGGTAGATTGTCATCGTACAATGTATTGAACCAGGATTTGTTAGATTGTCCTACAATGTATTGAACCAGGACTTGGTAGATTGTCCTACAATGTATTGAACCAGGATTTGTTAGATTGTTGTCCTTCAATGTATTGAACCAGGATTTGATCAATTGTTCACAATGTAAAGAACCAGGATTTGGTAGATTGTCCTACAATGTATAGAACCAGGATTTGGTAGATTGTCATCGTACAATGTATTGAACCAGGATTTGTTAGATTGTTGTCCTTCAATGTATTGAACCAGGATTTGATCAATTGTTCACAATGTAATCAACCAGGATTTGGTAGATTGTCCTACAATGTATAGAACCAGGATTTGGTAGATTGTCGTCCTACAATGTATTTAACCAGGATTTGGTAGATTGTCGTCCTACAATGTATTTAACCAGGATTTGGTAGATTGTCCTACAGTGTATTGAACCAGGATTTTGTAGATTGTCATCGTACAATGTATTGAACCAGGATTTGTTAGATTGTCCTACAATGTATTGAACCAGGACTTGGTAGATTGTCCTACAATGTATTGAACCAGGACATGGTAGATTGTCCTACAATGTATTGAACCAGGACTTGGTAGATTGTCCTACAATGTATTGAACCAGGACATGGTAGATTGTCCTACAATGTATTGAACCAGGATTTGTTAGATTGTTGTCCTTCAATGTATTGAACCAGGATTTGATCAATTGTTCACAATGTAATCAACCAGGATTTGGTAGATTGTCCTACAATGTATTGAACCAGGACATGGTAGATTGTCCTACAATGTATTGAACCAGGACATGGTAGATTGTCCTACAATGTATTGAACCAGGATTTGTTAGATTGTCCTACAATGTATTGAACCAGGATTTGTTAGATTGTTGTCCTTCAATGTATTGAACCAGGATTTGATCAATTGTTCACAATGTAAAGAACCAGGATTTGGTAGATTGTCCCACAATGTATTGAACCAGGATTTGGTAGATTGTCGTCCTACAATGTATTGAACCAGGACTTGGTAGATTGTCCTACAATGTATTGAACCAGGACATGGTAGATTGTCCTACAATGTATTGAACCAGGACATGGTAGATTGTCCTACAATGTATTGAACCAGGATTTGTTAGATTGTCCTACAATGTATTGAACCAGGATTTGTTAGATTGTCCTACAATGTATTGAACCAGGATTTGTTAGATTGTCCTACAATGTATAGAACCAGGATTTGGTAGATTGTCATCGTACAATGTATTGAACCAGGATTTGTTTGATTGTCCTACAGTGTATTGAACCAGGATTTGGTAGATTGTCATCGTACAATGTAAAGAACCAGGATTTAATAGATTGTCCTACAATATATTGAACCAGGATTTGGTAGATTGTCATCGTACAATGTATTGAACCAGGATTTGGTAGATTGTCCTACAATGTATTGAACCAGGATTTGTTAGATTGTCCTACAATGTATTGAACCAGGATTTGTTAGATTGTCCTACAGTGTATTGAACCAGGACTTGGTAGATTGTCATCGTACAATGTATTGAACCAGGATTTGGTAGATTGTCCTAGAATGTATTGAACCAGGATTTGGTAGATTGTCGTCCTACAATGAAATGGAACAATTTCTAATGTTACACCCCTCATTTATTTATTGTTAAGCTTATATGAAACGAAATTTCATAGTTTGTGAATCATTTAGTCATTTTTATATTTCATCTAGGATGAAATTTAACAAATTGTTCAATGTACTCCCCTTGAAATATTATAGATTCATCCTTTGAAAGCTTGGATGGTTCCATTATGAAATACTGGGGATGTGGGTATTAAGTACAACAGTTTCCTGTTAGAGTTCATTACCAAGTAATGTTTAATGGACTAAGCATCCTAACTTATGTTAATTAACACCTGCTTCTTCATCACCATGGAAATCCCCTCTCACAAGTCAATCTCATCACCAAGTGAACACTAAGTAGTTGTACAGCTTATATTTTGGAAAAGTTCTTTTTCACTGTTTATGTGGAAAAGCTGAAACCCTGTACAGTGTTGAATTTGTCATTTGAAGAATGTTGTGTCTGTGGTGTGACTAATATCTACCCCTTACTAATAAACTAAACTTCAGTAGTTGTCAATATGAACTCCTATTGATCAGGGAGCTGCAATGTTAATGTACAATTTATCATTGTAGACAGCTGGAAACCATGTTTTATAACGGCCATGTAACCATTAATAGAGGCTCCTATCACAAGTTCAAAAAGGACAATAGGGAATTATAAAGTTGTTAGGTATAGACAGGTGGTAGTAAAAGACAGGCAATCTGTAAGAAAGTTTGACTGTAGTTATAGATAGCATGTAGCTATTAGTTTGTAGTCTAAAAGGCAGGTTTTACTGTTTGGTCAAATTTATGGATAAATTATTTCAATGTAAAATATTTTCCTGAACTCATGTATCAACATCGATTATAATGAAGTTTATCATCTTTGCTACTTGCATTATTTTTGTTATATCATCCATTGGCATTTCAGTATTTCAGTTGGTGGTGTGTATAGGAGTGGATTAAATGTCGACTTCTCACCGCCATACACTACACTGTGAATACTGCATAATAATTCAGTTAATGTTCATATCTTTTTCTGCTTTTGAAAAGCATTTGATTGAATCAGATTTTGCTCTTTGTATCTGTGATACTGATTCTGCTGCTGTGGATCAGGGTCTCTCCAGTATTTTAATCCCTGATCTGTTATATGTTTTAATGCGAGATCATCATATATCTTAAGCTTATTTATTCATTAAGAAAATGTCATGATAAATCATACATACGTTCAAGAAATATGCTCAATTCTGTTTAATGTTTCCAGAATGGAAAAGGGGTAAAATACTGGAAAACAAAAAAAAACTGTTACAAACTATAAATCTCTTGTCAGAGAGGTTCTAAGGGTTTTCGTTTGCACATTTTCCAGGTTGTAAATAAAGCGAAAATAATAACTGCACAAAATCTACTGTGATTAGAATGTGTAAAAGTGGTCCTCAACAGACATGCTAACTTCCTCAAAGCTTTCTGATATAACTACACTGCAGGGACAAACAGGGATAACACATCAAGGCTTCTAACTACACTGCAGGGACAAACAGGGTCCTGGATAACACATCAAGGCTTCTAACTACACTGCAGGGACAAACAGGGTCCTGGATAACACATCAAGGCTTCTAACTACACTGCAGGGACAAACAGGGTCCTGGGTAACACATCAAGGCTTCTAACTACACTGAAGGGACAAACAGGGTCCTGGATAACACATCAAGGCTTTCTGATGTAACTACACTGCAGGGACAAACAGGGTCCTGGGTAACACATCAAGGCTTCTAACTACACTGAAGGGACAAACAGGGTCCTGGATAACACATCAAGGCTTCTAACTAGACTGCAGGGACAAACAGGGTCCTGGATAACACATCAAGGCTTCTAACTAGACTGCAGGGACAAACAGGGTCCTGGATAACACATCAAGGCTTTCTAACTACAGGCTTTAAGGCAACTGCATCCCAACTTTTCGCTATCACAGACTCTTTGGAGCTGTCACTGGCTCTTTGGAGCTGTCACAGACTCTTTGGACCTGTCACAGACTCTTTAGAGCTGTCACAGATTCTTTGGAGCTATCACAGACTCTTTGGAGCTTTCACAGACTCTTTGGAGCTGTCACTGGCTCTTTGGAGCTGTCACTGACTCTTTGGAGCTGTCACTGGCTCTTTGGAGCTATCACAGACTCTTAGGAGCTGTCACAGACTCTTTGGAGCTGTCACTGGCTCTTTGGAGCTGTCACAGACTCTTTGGAGCTGTCCCTGACTCTTTGGAGCTGTCACAGACTCTATGGAGCTGTCACAGACTCTTTGGAGCTGTCATTGCCTCTTTGGAGCTGTCACTGACTCTTTGGAGCTGCCACAGGCTCTTTGGAGCTGTCACAGACTCTATGGAGCTGTCACAGACTCTTTGGAGCCGTCACTGGCTCTTTGGAGCTATCACTGGCTCTTTGGAGCTGTCACTGGCTTTTTGGAGCTGTCACTGGCTCGTTGGAGCTGTCACAGACTCCTTGGAGCTGTCACTGGCTCTTTGTAGCTATCACAGACTCTTTGGAGCTGTTACTGGCTCTTTGGAGCTTTCACAGGCTCTTTGGAGCTGTCACTGGCTTTTTGGAGCTGGCACTGGCTCTTTGGAGCTGTCACATACTCTTTGGAGCTGTCACTGGCTATTTGGAGCTGTCACAGACTCTATGGAGCTGTCACAGACTCTTTGGAGAAGTCACTGGCTCTTTGGAGCTTTCACAGACTCTTTAGAGCTGTCACAGATTCTTTGGAGCTATCACAGACTCTTAGGAGCTGTCACAGACGCTTTGGAGCTGTCACTGGCTCTTAGGAGCTGTCACAGACTCTTTGGACCTGTCACAGACTCTTTAGAGCTGTCACAGATTCTTTGGAGCTATCACAGACTCTTTGGAGCTATCACTGGCTCTTTGGAGCTGTCACTGGCTTTTTGGAGCTGTCACTGGCTCTTTGGGGCTGTCACAGGCTCTTTGGAGCTGTCACAGGCTCTTTGTAGCTGTCACTGACTCTTTGGAGCTGTCACAGGCTCTTTGTAGCTGTCACTGACTCTTTGGAGCAGTCACTGGCTCTTTGGAGCTGTCACATACTCTTTGGAGCTGTCACTGGCTATTTGGAGCTGTCACAGACTCTTTGGAGAAGTCACTGGCTCTTTGGAGCTTTCACAGACTCTTTGGAGCTTTCACTGGCTCTTTGTAGCTGTCACTGGCTCTTTGGAGCTGCCACAGACTCTTTGGAGCTGTCACAGGCTCTTTGTAGCTGTCACTGACTCTTTGGAGCTATCACTGACTCTTTGGAGCTGTCACTGACTCTTTGGAGCAGTCACTGGCTCTTTGGAGCTGTCACAGGCTCTTTGTAGCTGTCACTGACTCTTTGGAGCTGCCACAGGCTCTTTGGAGCTATCACAGGCTCTTTGGAGCTGTCACTGGCTTTTTGGAGCTGGCACTGGCTCTTTGGAGCTGTCACTGGCTTTTTGGAGCTGGCACTGGCTCTTTGGAGCTGTCACAGGCTCTTTGGAGCTGTCACTGGCTTTTTGGAGCTGTCACTGGCTCGTTGGAGCTGTCACAGACTCCTTGGAGCTGTCACTGGCTCTTTGTAGCTGTCACTGGCCCTTTGGAGCTATCACAGACTCTTTGGAGCTTTCACAGACTCTTTGGAGCTTTCACTGGCTCTTTGTAGCTGTCACTGGCTCTTTGGAGCTGTCACAGACTCTTTGAATGCGGTGTAGGACTAGATCAATACATGGTGTTGATTTTTCTGTTACCTCGTGATTGTTCTGTACATAGATGTATACGGTTTCTATCCCGATCCTCAGCTGAGAATTTGTTCCACCCGATGTACTACTGTTGTCGCTGGTTAGACAGGAGAACTTTGTTAGTCTGTACTAACTATCCACAGTACATTGTCATTACCTTAAATCTCTCAACAATAGGCAGTGGCTTATTTCTAGCACATTTCATTGCAAGAAATCTCTGGCTTATTTTTATGACAAATTTATTTTTTTAGTCTTATTTTCAGATTTTAAGGGTATGATCAGTGTTAGCTTAGCTTCTGTCGAATAAAGCAATATAAAGCTGTATTTGATATACATACATTTATTGTTCTATTAAATGTAATATAAATGTAAAATCCATATTTTCTCTATGTAATTTCTTTTTGTTTTTGTTTTCCATTTGATAACATTTCTAAAATTGGCTAAATCTCAACATTGGAAAGGTTGGTTTACAAAGCAGTCTCTTGTAAATAATTTCAGCACAGATCCTATTGCATCAAGTATATATATTGTAACTTTTAAAATACTCGACAAGAAAAGCTGTTACCACAAGGTCGTATAAAGATGAAGCTCTTTGAACATAGCTTTATGATCACAGAGATGGTAATTTACCTAACTAGTATTATGTACATTCTGGGAAGTTTCTTACCTGGTGCAGTTTATTATTAGAAATAGTATATAAGTTGTGGAGATAAGTTCCAGTACACCTGAAGCTTCTGTTCACTTAACAATGCTTTACTCCTTTATACATCATCAAATACACATTGGTTTATTGACTGCTTCATTTGAAAGTGAGAGTAAGTTTGTTAAATGCAAATGTTTTTTGTATAATCAATATCTTTGTTTCCCCAATTGATGTGATAATTTTGTGTAAACTGTTTGTTTATAGCGGTATCCTACTGTCTAATAAGTCTATTCATAGCAATATCCTACTGTCTAATAATATTTATAGCGGTATCCTACTGTCTAATAAGTCTATTTATAGCGGTATCCTACTGTCTAATAAGTCTATTTATAGCAGTATCCTACTGTCTAATAGGTCTATTCATGTTTTGTACAAATATAATGAACTATATATTATATACCATCATCATAGCTAATATTTTATTCCTAAACATTTCTTTTTTAGAAAACTAATATATATACAGATGCGTTTTAGAAACAAACATATTTAATGAAATTTGATGATTAAGAAATATTTTTGGAAATAATACATTTATCACCGACAAATGATACTGGTTTGTGGAAAAAGTTTGGGAAAATTCAGTATTTTGAAGTTAACCATGATTGCCAGTAATGTAGGTATTCTGTAGTTACCTATGATTGCCAGTAATGTAGGTATTCTGTAGTTACCTATGATTGCCAGTAATGTAGGTATTCTGTAGTTACCTATGATTGCCAGTAATGTAGGTATTCTATAGTTACCTATGATTGCCAGTAATGTAGGTATTCTGTAGTTACCTATGATTGACAGTAATGTATGTGGAAGAAGATTTTAGCATCCAATGTTCATGTCATTTACAATTTATTTGAACTTATTTAATAACAAGTAGAGGGCACTAGTTCTCACACCTTACTACAACGTCTCCTAGCTGGTACAGTGTTCCAAAGTAAACTTGTCCAAGGTCGGAATTCCTATTGTTTCAGTGTAAACTTGTCCAAGGTCGGAATGCCTATTGTTTCAGTGTAAAATGGTGAAGAGAAAAAGTTATAACTATAAACTGCAGTTGTATGAAACATCTGATATATGAAATGTAGTGTGTGCCAATAATTTCTACTTATTCAAAAATGAACGAGATGAACACTGGGTTAATACTGATTTCTAGTGTGATTACAGTGAACTTGATTTTATAATACAGTTAATTTGTTTAAGTCTGGGGCAGCGGATATTAACCCTATACCAGAAAATTGTCATTGAAAACTAGCTGGCGAAATGGGTATTCTAACAAATACATCGTCAGATTTTATTTTCTGGCCATTTTTGAAGTAACCTTCACAGAAAAGCCAGGTTTTGTTTCTTTAAAGAATCGAAGTGGTTGTTACACAAATGTAAAAGTATTAATTTCAATTTAATGAATGAATCTCATCTTTGATGAGCAAGTTGGACACTAAAGAGTAACTTCCTATTAATTTGATTCAATTTTTAATATGATAGATATTAATGTAGCTTGAAATTTTAATACACTTCCATATGAACATGTGGACACCGATACCCCTGTATTTAAAACACAACACAACAAGGTGTCAGAGATTGGACTTCTATTGAATATGCTGACAGATTTACAAAGTGTGAAGGAATTATATATAAATATATATAGTTACCAATCAAAATAGACCTTTAATTGTATTTTTTTTATTTTCCATTATTGCATGCAAGAATTATATTTTAAATATAAAATCATTGTCAAATTGCACAAACAACACAGCCCCTGATGGAAGGGTAGCATGCTAAGGGGAGATAACAAGGTTGTCTCCTGTCCAACAGTTTATAGTGCTGGGATTAGAAAATTGGAAATAACTTTTTATTCTTTTTGTTTCTTACTTTACTTAATCAGGTCTGATCTTGAACATTAATTGACCAATCAAATGAGTTTTTGTTACTGCAGACTGGTTTAATGATTGACAAATAAAATTAGACCTTACATAATCTTGCCTTTCAAACTTCAAGTTGAAAAAAGTACATATATTGAAGTAAATAGTTGCTTTTTCAGTGCTCAGTGAGTCTTTTATGTTTTGTTTTACACAATATTATTTTTTTATTTGTTTATTTTTTTTCTGCCAAATCATTTACCATGTGGACGTAGTCATTGTGTTTTGTTAGACATGTTATAATGTAAAGCCTGTCAACACTTGTACACATTGTGTTTTGTTAGACATGTTATGATGTAAAGCCTGTCAACACTTGTACACATTGTGTTTTGTTAGACATGTTATAATATAAAGCCTGTCAACACTTGTACACAGTGTGTTTTGTTAGACATGCTATAATGCAAAGCCTGTCAACACTTGTACACATTGTGTTTTGTTAGACATGTTATGATGTAAAGCCTATCAACACTTGTCCACATTGTGTTTTGTTAGACATGTTATGACGTAAAGCCTATCAACACTTGTACACATTGTGTTTTGTTAGACATGCTATAATGCAAAGCCTGTCAACACTTGTCCACATTGTGTTTTGTTAGACATGCTATAATGTAAAGGCTGTCAATACTTGTACACATTGTGTTTTGTTTTGTTAGACATGTTATGATGTAAAGGCTGTCAACACTTGTACACATTGTGATTTGTTAGACATGTTATAATGTAAAGCCTGTCAACACTTGTACACATTGTGTTTTGTTAGACATGTTATAATGTAAAGCTTGTCAACACTTGTACACATTGTGCTCAAAGCGTGTATACATTGTACAGAAGGCTTCAACTATTATTACTGAAAATTGATGACATAAAATATTAATATAAGTACCTTGTACATTTTTAAAATATTGTATTATTAAAAAGCCTGAAGATGGGGCTTCCCAATAAATGAATAAAAACTGTTACAAGAAATGTTTTTCTAGCATGTTTTTTTTAGCCCTCCATCAACTGTCTTGTTATCCCTATCTCCAGAAAGTACTGGATTGTTTGTGTAGGTTCCCATTCATCCTTTATCACAATCAGTATTGTACTAGTTAATATGTGAAACAAGAAACTCACTTTAAAGGTTGTCTTTTATACACAGATGTATGAAGTTTAGATCAAAAGTAACCTCAAGGTGCATTTAATATTTACATGAATCAATCAAACAGATAAGAGAGAAAAGATCAAACTGACGATGGTGAACACTAATATCCCTCTGGGATCTCGGTACGATGGTGAGCACTAATATCCCTCTGGGATCTCGGTACGATGGTGAACACTAAGACTCCTCTGGGCTCTTGGTACGATGGTGAGCACTAAGACCCCTCTGGGATCTCGGTACGATGGTGAGCACCAAGACCCCTCTGGGCTCTCGGTACGATGGTGAGCACTAAGATCCCTTTGGGATCTCACTACGATGGTGAACACTAAGACCCCTCTGGGATCTCAGTACGATGGTGAGCACTTATATCCCTCTGGGCTCTCAGTACGATGGTTAACACTAAGACCCCTCTTGGATCTCGGTACGATGGTGAGCACTAATATCCCTCTGGGCTCTCGGTACGATGATGAGCTCCAAGACCCCTATGGGATCTCGGTACGATGGTGAGCACTAATATCCCTCTGGGATCTCGGTACAATGGTGAGCACCAAGACCCCTCTGGGCTCTCGGTACGATGGTAAGCACTAAGACCCAGAGGGGATCACGGTACGATGGTGAACACTAAGACTCCTCTGGGATCTCTGTACGATGGTGAGCATTAAGATCCTTCTGGGATCTCGCTACGATGGTGAGCACTAAGACTCCTCTGGGCTCTCGGTACGATGGTGAACACTAAGACCCCTCTGGGATCTCTGTACGATGGTGAACACTAAGACCCCTTTGAGATCTTGGTACGATGGTGAACACTAAGACCCCTCTGGGATCTCGCTACAATGGTGAGCACTAAGACCCCTCTGGGATCTCTGTACGATGGTGAACACTAAGACCCCTCTGAGATCTTGGTACGATGGTGAACACTAAGACCCCTCTGGGATCTCTGTACGATGGTGAACACTAAGACCCTTCTGGGATCTCGCTACAATGGTGAGCACTAAGACCCCTCTGGGATCTGGGTACGATGGTGAACACCAAGACTCCTCTGGGATCTCGGTACGATAGTGAACACTAAGACCCCGCTGGGATCTCGGTACGATGGTGAACACTAAGCCCCCTCTGGGATCTCGCTACAATGGTGAGCACTAAGACCCCTCTGGGATCTAGGTACGATGGTGAACACCAAGACCCCTCTGGGATCTCGGTACGATAGTGAACACTAAGACCCCTCTGGGATCTCGGTACGATGGTGAACACTAAGACCCCTCTGAGATCTTGGTACGATGGTGAACACTAAGACCCTTCTGAGATCTTGGTACGATGGTGAACACTAAGACTCCTCTGGGCTCTCGGTACGTTGGTGAGCACTAAGACTCCTCTGTGCTCTCGGTACGATGGTGAACACTAAGACTTCTATGGGATCTCTGTACGATGGTGAGCACCAAGACCCCTCTGGGCTCTCGGTACGATGGTAAGCACTAAGACCCAGAGGGGATCACGGTACGATGGTGAACACTAAGACTCCTCTGGGCTCTCGGGACGATGGTGAGCACTAAGACTCCTCTCGGCTCTCGCTACAATAGTGAGCACTAAGACCCCTCTGGGATCTCGCTACGGTGGTGAGCACTAAGACTCCGCTGGGCTCTCGGTACGATGGTGAACCCTAAGACCCCTCTGGGCTCTAGGTACGATGGTGAACACTAAGACTCCTCTGGGATCTCTGTATGATGGCGAGCACTAAGATCCCTCTGGGATCTTGCTACGGTGGTGAGCACTAAGACTCCGCTGGGCTCTCGGTACGATGGTGAACCCTAAGACCCCTCTGGGCTCTAGGTACGATGGTGAACACTAAGACTCCTCTGGGATCTCTGTATGATGGCGAGCACTAAGATCCCTCTGGGATCTTGCTACGGTGGTGAGCACTAAGACGCCTCTGGGCTCTCGGTACGATGGTGAACCCTAAGACCCCTCTGGGCTCTAGGTACGATGGTGAACACTAAGACTCCTCTGGGATCTCTGTACGATGGTGAACACTAAGACCCCTCTGGGATCTCGCTACGGTGGGGAGCACTAAGACTCCTCTGGGCTCTCGGGACGATGGTGAGCACTAAGACTCCCTGGGATCTCGGTACGATGGTGAACACTAAGGCCCCTCTGGGATCTCGCTACAATGGGGAGCACTAAGACCCCTCTGGGATCTCGCTACAATGGGGAGCACTAAGACCCCTCTGGGATCTCGCTACGGTGGTGAGCACTAAGCCTCCTCTGGGCTCTCGGTACGATGGTTAGCACTAAGATCCCTCTGGGATCTTGCTACGGTGGTGAGCACTAAGACTCCGCTGGGCTCTCGGTACGATGGTGAACCCTAAGACCCCTCTGGGCTCTAGGTACGATGGTGAACACTAAGACTCCTCTGGTATCTCTGTACGATGGTGAGCACTAAGATCCCTCTAGGATCTCGCTACGGTGGTGAGCACTAAGACGCCTCTGGGCTCTCGGTACGATGGTAAGCACTAAGACCCAGAGGGGATCACGGTACGATGGTGAACACTAAGACTCCTCTGGGATCTCTGTATGATGGCGAGCACTAAGATCCCTCTGGGATCTTGCTACGGTGGTGAGCACTAAGACTCTCTCGGTACGATGATGAGCTCCAAGACCCCTATGGGATCTCGGTACGATGGTGAGCACTAATATCCACCTGGGACCTCTTGTTGACAAATATAACCTTAAAGCTTCATAATGACAGGTTTTTAGATGTTTTAATAGAATGAGTTGAAATTGTTTACTGTAACAGACAATTACAAAAAATACATCTGAAAGTTATTACAAAAATGTCATCTATTTTATTACCAGTGGTGTTTATTGGCTGGATATTTAGTTTACCTTAAACTAAATATTTAGAAGGCTTCAACTATTATTACTGAAAATTGATGACATAAAATATTAATAATGAGTACCTTGTAAATTTTTAAAATATTGTATTATTAAAATATTCTGTTATATACCTATCGGCCTCAGGAAATACGAAACCCCTATGTGATCTCGGTACGATGGTGAGCACTAAGATCCCTCTAGGATCTCGCTACGGTGGTGAGCACTAAGCCTCCTCTGGGCTCTCGGTACGATGGTTAGCACTAAGATCCCTCTGGGATCTTGCTACGGTGGTGAGCACTAAGACTCCGCTGGGCTCTCGGTACGATGGTGAGCACTAAGATCCCTCTAGGATCTCGCTACGGTGGTGAGCACTAAGACGCCTCTGGGCTCTCGGTACGATGGTGAGCACTAAGACTCCTCTCGGCTCTCGCTACAATGGTGAGCACTAAGACCCCTCTGGGCTCTCGGTACGATGGTGAGCACTAAGACCCCTCTGGGCTCTCGGTACGATGGCGAGCACTAAGACTCCTCTCGGCTCTCGCTACGATGGTGAGCACTAAGATCCCTCTGGGATCTCGCTACGGTGGTGAGCTCTTAGACTCCTCTGGGCTCTCGGAACGATGGTGAGCACTAATATCCACCTGGGACCTCTTGTTTCCAAATATAACCTTAAAGAACACTAATATCCCTCTGAGATCTCGGTACGATGGTGAGCATTAAGACTCCTCTGGGATCTCGGTACGTTGGTGAGCACTAATATCCACCTGGGACCTCTTGTTTACAAATATAACCTTAAAGAACACTAATATCCCTCTGGGATCTCGGTACGATGGTGAGCACTAATATCCACCTGGGACCTCTTGTTTACAAATATAACCTTAAAGCTTCATAATGACAGGTTTTTAGATGTTTTAATAGAATGAGTTGAAATTGTTTACTGTAACAGACAATTACAAAAAATACATCTGAAATTTATTACAAAAATGTCATCTATTTTATTACCAGTGGTGTTTATTGGCTGGATATTTAGTTTACCTTAAACTAAATATTTAGAAGGCTTCAACTATTATTACTGAAAATTGATGACATAAAATATTAATAATGAGTACCTTGTAAATTTTTAAAATATTGTATTATTAAAATATTCTGTTATATACCTATCGGCCTCAGGAAATACGAAACCCTTTAGGGTCATACCATCCTGTATACCCTGCCAAAAATTCGTGTAACTAATATTATTAGTAACATCATGATAAAATTTTACAACAGTAACAAGGAGTGATCCTTTAACTCAGTCAACCAAAGAAACCACCACGGGTTCATCGTCCTCTGGAGCACACGTGAAGTCCCATTTGAATTTGAGAGTAAGGTGATCACGAAATTTAAGCCCTTTCTTTTGAAGAATTTCATTGACTTGACCAGACTCAATATTTGTAAAGAACTCTCTTAAAGTAGAGGTGAGAAAATTGTCCTGAGAGACAATGTCAACAAAGAAATCTTCTGGAATTTCTTTCAGTTGAAAATGGAGAACAGTTATAAGGTTTAAATATAAGTCTGTATGTTTAGCCAATGCATCTTCACTACTGCACAGCAAATGAACCAGCTTTTTCCATTGGTCAAATGCATCATACACCTGACCAAACAAAAAACAAATGAAAGAAAATTGAATTTCTCCCAAAATGTTATTTGAGTTCTCTAAGCAATATGTACTTAGGATACATTCTAGCATATAGCTTAAATCAATGTTGTGTTTTGTGATTTCTGCCGGAGAACTTCCCGGTGGAAATTTATTCTTTGGAATTATGGAGAATCGCATAGATGTTCCTGGAGTTGTCTTCATTTCAGGAAGTCGATCTTCAGCTTCCTGAAAAGACACCGGTCCATCAGATGTGAAAGTTCCAGACTTGTTTAAACTTCCATTTATTTCGTTGTTTTCTTTCCTGGACTGGCTAGTACTCTTGTCGGAAACGAATTGTGACACAGAAACAATCTTCCCCGTCTCTGGAGAGAGTCGGGATGCAAGCTCGTCAGTGATATAGCCACACAGTGACACCCAGGTCTTGTAGCTGTAAAATACAAATATAGTCACTTTAACATAAACAGGGCCGAGAACCTGTGAAAAGGTTGAAATTCAGGAAAAAATTTAAGTGTCTAAATTTATTAATTTACCAGAAACAACACAAGAAAGAAAACAAGAGGCCCATGGGCCGAAACGGTCACCTGAGTCCTACAGTATTTATTTTTGTTGTTGAAATATGTACCAATTTGAGTACAAAATAGTGAAGTATAACGTTAACTTAAGTTTGTCAGGTGATCATTCCTACTCCGAGTTTCAGTTAAATCGGCCTATTATAACTTGTTTTTAAGTTTGAAATACATTTTAGCTCACCTGGCACGAAGTGTCAAGTGAGCTTATGCCGTGGTCCGGCGTCAATATTTTACTTTAAATGACTTCTTCTTAATAACCGAAAGGCCTAGGGTGATGATATTTGGCCAGAGGCAAACTCGGATGAAGGGCTACAAAGATTGTTCAAATGAATGACCTTCACCCATATTCAAGATCACAGGGGTCAAATATGTTAAAAACTTGAAACAACTTCTTCTGAATAACCAAAGTGCCCAAGGTGGTGATATTTTGCCAGTAGCATACTTGGATCAAGGGCTACCAAGTTTGTTTAAATGTATGACCTTGAATCATATTCAAGGTCACAGGGGTCAAATATGTTCAAAATATTTAAAGAACTTGTTCTGAATAACCGAAAGGCTCAGGATGTTGATATTTTGCCAGTAGCATGCTGGGATCAAGGACTACTATGTTTGTTAAAGTGAATGACTTTGACTTATATTCAAGGTCACAGGGGTCAAATTTGTTTAAAATCTTTAAACGACCTCTTCTGCATAACCATGGGTCCCAGGATGTTGATACTTTGCAAGTTGCATCCTGAGATGAAAGGCTATAAAATGTGTTCAACATAATGACATTGTTCGACTTTCAATCACAGGGGTGAAATGTTTTTAAAAAAAAATAACAGGCTCTTTTGAATGAATTTTAATCATAAATACTGATATTTTGCCTGTAGCTTTATTTTAGATCACTTTTAAGGTTACAAGTGTGAGATTTATACCAGGTGTGCAATTCAGGCCCATTCGGCCTCTTGTTTCAAAATGGCGGCCGTGTCGGCCATATTGAATTTCTGATCGACCCGAAAAATAACAACACTTTGTCCGGACCATGAGTCGATCATTCCTACAAAGTTTCAGTTCAATCAGCGAAGCAGAACTTGACTTTAAGTTTGAAATAGTTTTTCAAAATGGCGGCCGTGTCGGCCATATTGAACTTCTGATCGACCCGAAAAATGACAACACTTTGTCAGGACCATTAGTCGATCATTCCAACAAAGGTTCATTTCAATTAGCCCAGTTTATCTTGACTTAAAGTTTAAAAGTAGTTTTTCAAAATAGCGGCCGTGGCGGCCATATTGGATTTCTGATTGACCCGAAAAATAACAAAACTTGGTCAGGACCATGAGTCGATCATTCCAACAAAGTTTCATTTCAATTAGCCCAGTATAACTTGACTTAAAGTTTAAAAGTAGTTTTTCAAAATAGCGGCCGTGGCGGCCATATTGGATTTCTGAAAGCTCAGGTGACCTAAAAAGGAAAACCTCCAGTGTTATTTGTATCTCAGTAATATGTATGTCGTTTTTCTGTTATATGCCTGGTCAACATATTGTCGCCCCGAGTCAAGTCCATACATGCAATGGTAGTGTTGATATGCTTCAGAAACCTGTAATACAGGCCAACTTTTTGAAATTTCCATGGGGGAGTTTACTCGTGCTCAGAGTAAAAAGCATAACCTAGAAATTGTTGGCTAACAATTTGACGGGCTTTTCACTGTAAGGACTGATTTGGCCTTCTAATAATAACTTGTGAAAGTCTACAGTAGCTGACTTAGTAGTGCGGGATTCCCGGAGTGCGAAATGACGTCGGAGAAAAACTGGATAAATATAGGCAGCCAATGGGCTTAGTTGAATATGCAGGTAGTCCGTAAAATATAGTCTGTCCACTATGTACGTCAGGATGATGAATTGAAATAGGTTTTTGTCTATATCGGTTGGGTTTGCCATGCCAAAGACAGGCTGATGTTTACCCACCGCAGTAGAGATGCAAACTGTCGCGACTTTTAAGATTGAGAGTGCGTAGTAATCGATGTAGTATTACCAGCGTGTATTAGATGTCTTGATACAAATCAAAGTACTGAGAGTACTGAAAGCACTTCACAATCGTACAAAAATGAAAACGGTTTTTGACTTTCACCTTTGAAATTATATTTGGAGTAGGTCAAGGTCAATCATTTGCACACACTTTAAAGTCCTTCATTCAAGCATGCTTCTTTGTCAAACATCATTACCCTGGAGTTATTGGTTATTCAGAAAAAGTGGTTTCAATATTTTTACACATATGACCTCTGTGACCTTGAAAGTCATTCAAGGTCAATCATTTTTTCAAACTTGATAGTCAATCATCTGACCATGTTAATGCATCAAATAGTAGGACTCTAGACCTTGTAGAACTTGTTTGTGACCTTGATTGTGACCTTGATAGTTGATCAATGTCAACCATTTTTTTAAACCTAATACCCCGACATCTCAGAATCTTCATTATCAAATATCAAGACTCTAGACCATGTGGAACTTAAGAAGAAGATTTTTTAAGGTTGGTACCCAATATAGTGCATTTTAACTTTGATCCCTGCCGAAAACCGGAAGTTGACATTTTTTGTTAAAACAGTATGAAAGAAAAAGTTTGCCCTTGGCTATCTCTATATGATATCCAAAGATCAACCTCGTGTTTGATATCATTAACGAAGTATATTGGTATAGGCTGTTAGCCAATCAGAGTTTGTGGCGGCCATCTTGGAATATTAATTGCTCCAAAAAGAAACATAACTTCGTAAGGAATACATTTATCAATTGTGGTTGGTATTGCAATGGCAGAATTGGAGAAGAAGATCGTTGAAGTTTTAACATGTTGTCAGCGTTTTAAAAATGAAAAATGAATGTTTTAAAAATATTGGTGAACTTCGACCCAAGGCGCACTTTTTAATTGAGAAAAGTGAGGAAAAGATAGATATAGAAATTACCTACAAATAATTTACTTTCACAAATTCTGTACAATCAACGGTTTTCGAGTTATAGCGGTTTTAAAGATTTTACCCTATGACGTCATGGTGGCCATTTTGTTTTTTTGATGAAGTTGAAAATGTTACCAAATGTTAGAAGACATCTAGGGAAACTTTTCCCGTTACAACTAAACAAAATATTTGTCATTGATATTGGAGTAAAACAAGTTTTAATATATTGCGAAATTTTTAAAAGATCAAAGGAAATATTTCAAAATGGCGTACAACCTTAACGGTAATTGTTACAGAAAACTTAAGACATCAATTTCATCGGAATGACATACTCCATCGATCTGTAGAAGTATTTTTCAAAAACAATGAAAATTGAATGTTTTTAAAAAATGGTGACCTTTGACCCAATAGCGAGCTTTTTTATTTGAAATATTTTGTAATAACATGTAATGATAAAAGTTAGCCCCGAAGATTATCTACAAATAATATAATTGCATCAATTCTGTAAATTAAACCGTTTTTGAGTTATGGCCATTTTAAGATTTTGACCTATGACGTCATGGTGGCCATATTTAATTTTTGACCTACTTCAAAATGTTGCTTGATCAGCTTCAGACCTTTTCCTACAACATACCTTAAAGACTATAAACCTATCTTTTACCAATCAAAAGAAACAGATTCCACAAAGTACGAAAGAAGAATAATAAGAATAAGAATAAGAAACATAACAAAAACAATAGGTCTTTTCACCAGTTGGTGAAAAGCCCTAATAAAATGTGATATGATATCAAAGTTCACATATTTTAAATGGCATTGTTTGGGCTGTTCTTTCAGGTGAAATCATCAGATCTTAGAAAATACAAATATGTTATCAAATTCACTGGTTGAAAATGCTCACTTTTGGGGTCCAAAATCGGGAGTCTCCCTCCTAAATAGGGAGGGTTGGCAAGTATGCTGTATTAAACTGTTTTATTACTTTAGGTCAAAGTCAAATAGAGGTCACAGTGACCCAACCCCTTCCCATGATGTAACTATATAGGTTACAAAGTTGGATGCCAATTTGTAAAACAGTATACAATTGTTTCATGGCTATATTTGGAACGGTCAAACCTATCATCCAGAGGTAGGGGGAAACCCTGGGGAACTGTTTGCCTGAGGCCTCTGTTATTAGGCAGACTATAGTACCCTGTAAGTGACAACGGACACGTTATTAGGCAGACTATAGTACCCAGTAAGTGACAACGGACACGATATTAGACAAAATATGGTCCTAGTAAGCCTTTCAAGCTACAATCCTATTTTCAGCCCACCATCATCTGATGGTGGGCTATTCAAATCACCCTGCGTCAGTGGTCCGTCCCTAAACAACTCTTGTTATCAGTATTTCTCAAGAACTACTAAAGGGATCTTTCTCAAATTTCATATGTAGGTTCCCGNCTTTCTCAAATTTTATATGTAGGTTCTACTTGGTCCTAGCTGTGCAGGGCAATTTTAGAGACTGATCGGATAAACAACATGGTCGACAGGCAGCCATCTTTGATTTTGATATTGAAAGTTTGTTATCACTATTTCGCTGGAAGTACCAGAGGGATCTTTCTCAAATTTTATATGTAGGTTCCCCTTGGTCCTTAGCTGTGCAGGGTTTGTTACCGCTATTTCTCCGGAAGAACTAGAGGGATCTTTCTTAAATTGTTATCGCTATTCCTCGGGAAGTACGGGAGGGATCTTTCTCAAATTTTATATGTAGGTTCCCCTTAATCTCTCGTTGTGCATGTTATATTTTGAGACTGATCATAAAAACAAAATGGATTAAAAGAAGAACTAAACAGATCGTTCTCATATTGCAATGATCAATTCTATTTCTTTCACATTAAGTAATGTACTAGTAAATGTGTGAATGACAAACTCACTTTGAAGGTTGGCTTTCATACACATCAGTATTAAGTTTAGATCAAAAGTTACCTCAAGGTGCATTTACTGTTAACATGACTCGATCAAACAGATTAGAGGAAAGTAGAGAAAAGATCGAACCGACAAAGAACTAATGAAGATGGTACAAAGGTGGGCGCCAAGATCCCTCTGGGATCTCTTGTATTTATAACAATTACTTTTATCTGCATGTCCCTATGTTGACCCTTCTTTTAATGCCAAACTTCTGCTGGATATATAATGGCAGTATAACAAGGATTGGTGGAATTTAGTTCCAAAACAAAGACTTTAAATTATGCCTGATGAAAGATATTCTTACTTGTTGTATGGATAAGGTCCAAGGTATTTGTCCATTTCTTGTGTGTTGTCATGGTAACGCTGTAGATCTTCAGGACTGACAGCATCTTTTCCAATATCTATAAAACAAGTGTGTTTATGTCTGAATTTTACATCAAAGCTATTTTGCGATCTACAGCAGTCACCGATAAGGAACATATTAGCTGCAAATAAAAGTCCAAGTGAGGAAAACACTGAAAATCAATGGGGATTTTAATTCTAGGTAGTAAGTGCTTGTTTAGTTGTAATGAACGGTAGTAAATGCTTGTTAGCTCACCTGGTGCGAAGGACCAAGTTGATCTTATGGGATACTATGGCGTCCGTCGGTCGTCTGTGCGTCAACAATTTCTTTGAACGACTTCTTCTTAACCACTGATTGGAATTTGACTAAATTTGACTGGGAGCATCCCTAGGTGGTGAGGATTCAAAATTGTACAAATGGTGGGGCTGACCCCCCAGGGGGCTGAGGGGCAGGGCCAAAAGGGGGCAATTTGACTATATTGCTTTAAGCGACATCTTCTCTGGAACCAAGAGATGGATATCAACCATATTTGACTGGAAGCATCCATAGGTGGTGGAAATTTTAAAAATTGTGAGAGGGGGGGGGGGGGGGGGAAAAGGGGGGCAATTTGGCTATATTGCTTTAAGCGACTTCTTCTCTGGAACTAAGATATGGATATCATCCATATTTGACTGGAAGCATCCATAGGTGGTGGGAATTTAAAATTGTACAAATGGTGGGGCTGGCCCCCCAGGGGGCTGAGGGGGCGGGGCCAAAAAGGGGGCAATTTTGCTAGATTGCTTTAAGCGACTTCTTCTCTGGAACTAAGATATGGATATCATCCATATTTGACTGGAAGTATCCCTAGGAGGTGGGGATTCAAAATTGTACAAATGGTGGAGCTGAGTATAAAGATAAGAATGCACAGTTGCTTACAGGATGGCCCTAGGATCTGGCCCCACCCTTGGAGGCATAGTCCCATGGTCATAACTTTGAAACAGTTGAGATCCCCTCCCCAAAACTAGAAATACAAATGCTGGGCATAAAGAGACGAATGCAGTCATGGTATTAGAATAGACCCTGGGGTCTGACCGAACCCCTAGGGACCAAGTTTCTTAGTCATAGCTTGGAAACAGTTGAGATCCCCACCCAAAAACCATATATACAATCGCTGAGTATAAAGAAATGAATGCACATATGCTTCCAGGATGCCCCAGCCTTGGAGACTTAACCCCTGGGTCATAACTTCAAAATGGTAAAGATCCCCACCCCAAAACTATATATAAAATTGTTGGGCATAAAGAGACTAATGCAGTCATGATATTAGAATGGATCCCAGGGTCTGCCCCACCTTTGCAGACTTAACCCCTGGGTCATAACTTCAAAACGGTTGAGATCCCCACACCAAAACTATAAATACAAATGCTGGGCAAAAAGAGATGAATGCAGTCATGATATTAGAATTGATCCTTGGGTCTGGCCACAACCTATGGACCTAGTTTCTGAGTCACAGCTTGGAAACAGTTGAGATTACCACCCCATAACCATACATAAAGTTGCTGGGCATGAGAAATTTAATACAGATATGCTACAAGGATTGGCCTTGGGGTCTCGCATATTCCCTTGGATCTCATTTGGAGAATATTTTGCCATGATTGCTTAGATATCCAAGTGAACGATACAGGCCCTCTGGGCCTCTTGTTTTGTTGAAAAGTGCTTGGCTAGACATTTGTAAGATATAGCTGAATTTTGGTTTGTCTCTCTACTCTCAAATAATTTAATATTTATTGTCATGTCACGAGGTAGAGGTGAACTAAGTAACAAATTTAACCAATTACTTTTATATATTTTGAAAAGACCCCAATAGTAAAAGGCACTTCTACACAACTAGTGTGATGTAAACAGAAAGTTTTGCCAAGTTATCTTGAACAGTTTTTAGCGTGGGCATCTATCATCCGTTCTTCCGTCGGCGTCCATCATCGTCAGTCAACTTTTCCTTTAAACAACTTGTTATGAAGAATGGACAGGCCTGGAGTCTAATATTTGGGTAATAGCTTCGTGAGTAGGAGCCAAACAAAGTTTGAAAACGAAAATGACCTTGACCTACTTTCAAGGTCACAGCGGTCAAAAGTGTCAAATACTTTAAATGACTTCTTCTGAAGAACTGAAAGGTATAGAATCTCAATATGGGGCTGGTACCTTTGTTAGTAAGACCCCAAATAAATCTGAGAACAAAAAATAACCTTGACCTAATTTCGAGGTCACAGGGTCAAAAGTGTCAAATACTTGACAACAACTTCATCTGCAGAATTAAAAGGTATAAAATCTTAATATGTGGCTGGTAGCTTTGTTGGTAAGAAGAAGTTGTTTACAGAGCTTGACATATTTGACCCCTGTGACCTTGAAAGTAGGTAAAGGTCATTTTTGTTCTCAAACTTTGTCGGGCTCTATCCCAGGAAGCCACCAGCCAAATTTAAAGATTCTACAGCTTTCAGTTCTCCGAAGAAGTCGTTTGAAGTGTTTGACACATTTGACCCCTGTGACCTTGAAAGTATGTCAAGGTCATTTTCGTTCTCAAACTTTGTCTGGCTCCTACCAACGAAGCTTTCAGTCAAATATCATGGCTCAATGCCTGTTCGTTCTTCAGAAGAAGTCATTTAAAGGAAAAGTTGAGAACTATGACGGACGACGGATGGACGACGGACGACGCACCATGACATCGGCTTGCTTGCCCTACGGGCAGGTCAGCTAAAAAAGGTCATTTTCGTTCTCAAACTTTGTCTGGCTCCTACCAACAAAGTTTTCAGTCAAATATCATGGCCTTATGCCTGTTCGTTCTTCAGAAGAAGTCGTTTAAAGGAAAAGTTGAAGGACGACGACAGACGCCGCACCATGACATAAGCTCACTTGCCCTTCTAGCAGGTGAGCTAAAAATCACTACAAGATACCTCAATTCATGTAATCAACATTTTGTAAAAGAATGTCAAACAATTTCTGAGATTTACTGAGGAAACTTTGTAAGGCTGGGAATAATAAGTATATTAACATCATGTAACTAAAACAGATGTATCAATCTAACTGCGGCTATCTGTGTTGTACACGGGCTGAGTCTACTACTTATTAACATATATCGATTTCATATTTTACAAGTCAAATTTGTTAATCTTTCAAGTGAACAAAAAATTGACAAGAAAACATATGTCAAAACAGAAACTTCCAAATTATTTGAAAAAAAACATGACATATAAAACAAACACTTTTAACGATGTTTCTGTTTTTGATTTAACTGAAAGTAAGTTATAACAGAAACTGATCTCAGACTACCTTCTAATGTCTTGTCCCATCTCCTAACAACGATTTCTCTTTGTTTGAAGTTGTAAAAGAATCCAGTTCTGGGACTTGCTTCTCCTTCTTTGTTACAGGCACTGAAAAACGAATGTAGACAATGTGAATCACAAATACAGACAATGTGAATCACAAATACAGACAATGGGAATCACAAATACAGACGATGTGAATCACAAATACAGACAATGTGAATCACAAATACAGACAAGGTGAATCACAAATACAAACAATGTGAATCCTAAATACAGACAATCTGAATCACAAATACAGACAATGTGAATCCTAAATACAGGCAATGTGAATCCTAAATACAGACAATGTGAATCACAAATACAGATAATGTGAATCACATATAAAACAAGTGAATCACAAATACAGACAATGTGAATCACAAATACAGACAATGTGAATCATAAATACAGACAATGAAAATCACAAATACAGTCAATGTGAATCATAAATACAGACAATGAAAATCACAAATACAGACAATGTGAATCACAAATACAGACAATGTGATCACAAATACAAACAATGTGAATCACAAACATAGACAATGTGAATCACAAATACAGACAATGTGAATCACAAATACAGACAATGTGAATCACAAATAAAACAATGTGAATCACAAATACAGACTATGTGAATCACAAACATAGACAATGTGAATCACAAATACAGACAATGTGAATCAAAAACATAGACAAGACAATGAGAATCACAAAAACAAACACTGTAGTACACACTAACAGGAGAGCGACGTTTACCTGTAGTATACACTACCAGGAGTGGACCTTTACCTGTAGTACACACTTACAGGAGGGGGACGTTTACCTGTAGTAAACACTACAGGGAGGGGGACGTTTACTTGTAGTACACACTACCAGGAGGGGGAGGTTTACCTGTAGTATACACTACCAGGAGTGGACCTTTACCTGTAGTATACACTAACAGGAGGGGGACGTTTACCTGTAGTAAACACTACAGGGAGGGGGACGTTTACTTGTAGTACACACTACCAGGAGGGGGAGGTTTACCTGTAGTATACACTACCAGGAGAGGGTCATTTACCTGTAGTACACACTACCAGGAGGGGGACGTTTACCTGTAGTACACATTACCGGGAGGGGGATGTTTACCTGTAGTACACACTACCAGGAAGGAGACGTTTACATGAAGTACACACTACCAGGAGGGGGACGTTTACCTGTAGTACACACTACCAGGAGGGGGATGTTTACCTGTAGTACACACTACCAGGAGAGCAACGTTTACCTGTAGTTCATTCACAATACCAGGAAATAGACGTTTATCTGTAGGACACACTACCAGGAGGGGGACCTTTACCTGTAGTACACACTACCAGGAGGAGGATGTTTACCTGTAGTACACATTACAAGGAGGGGGACCTTTACCTGTAGTATACAATACCAGGAGGGGGACCTTTACCTGTAGTATACACTACCAGGAGGGGGAACTTTACCTGTAGTATACACTACCAGGAGGGGTCCTTTACCTGTAGTACACACTAACAGGAGATGGACCTTTACCTGTAGTACACACTACCAGGAGGGGGACGTTTACCTGAAGTACACACTACCAGGAGGGGAACGTTTACCTATAGTACACACTACCAGGAGGGGGACGTTTACCTGTAGTACACACTACCAGGAGGGGGACGTCTACCTGTAGTATACACTACCAGGAGAGGGACATTTACCTGTAGTACACACTACCAGGAGAGCGATGTTTACCTGTAGTACACACTTCCAGGAAGGAAACGTTTACATGTAGTACACACTACCAGAAGGGGGAACTTTACCTGTAGTACACACTACCAGGAGGGGGACCATTACCTGTAGTACACACTACCAGGAGGGGGACCTTTACCTGTAGTACACACTACCAGGAGAGCGACGTTTACCTGTAGTTCACACTACCAGGAGAGAGACGATTACCTGTAGTACACACTGCCAGGAGAGCGACTTTACCTGTAGTACAAACTACCAGGAGAGGGACGTTTACCTGTAGTACACACTACCAGGAGAGCGACGTTTACCTGTAGTACACACTACCAGGAGAGGGACGTTTACCTGTAGTACACACCAACAGGATAGTGACATTTATCTGTAGTACACACTACCAGGAGAGCGACGTTTACCTGTAGTACACACTACCAGGAGAGCGACGTTTCCCTGTAGTACACACTACCAGGAGGGGGACCATTACCTGTAGTACACACTACCAGGAGGGCGACGTTTACCTGTAGTACACACTTAGTACACACTAACAGGAGAGCGACGTTTACCTGTAGTACACACTTAGTACACACTAACAGGAGAGCGACGTTTACCTGTAGTTCACACTACCAGGAGAGAGACGATTACCTGTAGTACACACTGCCAGTAGAGCGACTTTACCTGTAGTACAAACTACCAGGAGAGCGACGTTTACCTGTAGTACACCCTACCAGGAGAGGGACCTTTACCTGTAGTACACACTACCAGGAGGGGGACCTTTACCTGTAGTACACACTGCCAGGAGAGGGATGTTTACCTGTAGTACACACTACCAGAAGGGGGAACTTTACCTGTAGTACACACTACCAGGAGGGGGATGTTTACCTGTAGTACACACTACAAGGAGGGGGACCTTTACCTGTAGTATACAATACCAGGAGGGGGACCTTTACCTGTAGTATACACTACCAGGAGGGGGAACTTTACCTGTAATATACACTACCAGGAGGGGGACCTTTACCTGTAGTACACACTAACAGGAGATGGACCTTTACCTGTAGTACACACTACCAGGAGGGGGACGATTACCTGTAGTACACACTGCCAGGAGAGGGACGTTTACCTGTAGTACAAACTACCAGGAGAGGGACGTTTACGTGTAGTACACACTACCAGGAGAGGGACGTTTACCTGTAGTACACACCAACAGGATAGTGACATTTATCTGTAGTACACACTACCAGGAGAGCGACGTTTACCTGTAGTACACACTACCAGGAGGGGGACATTTACCGGTAATACACACTACCAGGAGAGCGACGTTTACCTGTAGTACACAAAGTGTATCCCAGGTGGTATCATCTTCACACCACGAAACTGAGGTCCGACTTTCCAGCAGTTGTAGTCAATACCAAACTCTGTACCCTCTGGTACATCAAGGAACAACAAAATGGCTCCCTCGCGAAATAGCACCTTGGCCTTCTCTTGGTCCATGACTACTCCTTAACAGAAAAAATAAAATGATATTGATCAATAACGATCCCAATTCAAAATATTGACTCTCATTTTGGTTCCCAGAAATAAACTGTCATGACTACCAGATTCCCCAACAAAACATCACACAGACGATGACTTTTTATCATGTGGTACAATAACCAGTATCATGGTGTACACTAACAACTAGATCGACATACCACCTGAACTTCATGTTAATCCAGGTCATCACACTGAAAGTAGGATACTTGGTGATATAAATACAACCTAACACCTGAACTATGTAACCAGACATACCACCTGAACTATGTAACCAGACATACCACCTGAACTATGTAACCAGATATACCATCTGAACTATGTAACCAGACATACCACCTGAACTAAATGTTGATCCAGGTCATCACACTGAAAGTATGATGCTTGGTGATATTAATACAACCTAACCATAACCATGGATGCTACATGTCAAACAAGTAAACAAAGACATTTCAATGTACTCCAAGTAAGAACTAGGGCAAAAACACACAGGCATTGATATCCTTGTGCTCCCCCTTGTATGCTTAAGTCTATCTTCCTCAGGAAGTGTTGGGGTGGCACCCCAATGAACACTTTGAACAAATCCAGGATAACAAGCATACTGAGTATTGCTAAAGCAATACATGTCCCATACCGGCCCCCGCTAGCTATTACACTGTAAAGATTTATAACAAGAGGCCCAGGGGCCTTAATAGCTCACCTGGTATTTTATTTTTCAATTTAAAACCTGCTGAGTACTATTCAGGTTTATCAAAGGAGTACAAGTAACAAAGTTGCATCTTCCATTTATAAATATTCAATTCCCTTTGCCCAAAGATTCTCTAAAACAAGTTTGGTTAGGTTAAAATCCCTTCAACGGTACAGAAGGAGAAGGATCTTTAATGTTTTCCTCTATTTCCCCTAATGGGCCCCACTAATCTGCCCCAAAGAAGGGGAATCCACACACCTCAGTTTAAACAAAATTGATTCTTTTCTCCCTAAGCATGCTTCAGACTGCATTTGGTTTAAATCCCTTCACTTGTATAGTAGGAGAAAAAAAATCCTCTATTTCCCCTATTGGGCCCCGCTCCTATGCCGCCAGAAGGCCCACACCCTCCGTTTATACAAACTTGAGTCTCCTTTGTCCAAAGATGCTCTAGGACAAATTTGGTCAAAATCCTTCAATTGGTTGAGGAGAAGATTTTTAAAGATTTACCTATTTTCCCCTATTTGGCCCCGTCCCTCTGCCCCCAGGGGGACCATACCCTCCGTTCATACAAAACTGAGAACCCTTTGGCCAATGATGCTCCAGACCAAATTTGGTCAAAATCCCTTCATCGGTACAAAAGGAGAAGGATATTTGATGTTTTCCTCTATTTCCCCTAATGGGCCCCACCCATCTGCCCTTAGAAGGAGGCCCACACACCTCAGTTTATACAAAATTGATTCTTTTGTCCCTAATCATGCTTCAGACTGCATTTGGTTAAAATCCCTTCACTTGTATAGCAGGAGAAAAAAAATCCTCTATTTCCCCTATTGGGCCCCGCCCCTCCGCCCCCAGAGGGGCCACACCCTCCGTTTATACAAACTTGAGTCTTCTTTGTCCAAAGATGCTCTAGGACAAATTTGGTCAAAATCCTTCAATTGGTTGAGAAGAAGAACATTTTTAAAGATTTACCTTTTTTCCCCTTATTTAGCCCCGCCCCTCTGCCCCGAGGGGGGGCTATACCGTCCGTTTATACAAAACTGAGAACCCTTTGGCCAATGATGCTCCTGACCAAGCTTCAGACTGCATTTGGTTTAAATCCCTTCACTTGTATAGTAGGAGAGAAAAAATCCTCTACTTCCCCTATTTGGCCCCGCCCCTCTGCCCCCAAAGAGGCCACACCCTCCGTTTATACAAACTTGAGTCTCCTTTGTCCAAAGATGCTCTAGGACAAATTTGGTCAAAATCCTTCTATTGGTTGAGAAGAAGAAGATTTTTAAAGATTTACCTATTTTCCCCCTATTTGGCCCCGCCCCTCTGCCCCCAGGGGGGTTATACCCTCCGTTTATACAAAACTGAGAACCCTTTGGCCAATGATGCTCCTGACCAAATTTGGTCAAAATCCTCTGAGCCATTCAGGACAAGTAGCATTTTAAAGGAAAAAGTTGACGGACGGAAATAG